AGGATTGTTTCCTGAACAAAAACTTTCTATTAAATTGCAGTGCACATAGGTAGGCTAAGAATTAACCTTGTTTTTTTTACTTTAAATTTTACTGTGCAATACTGTATTGCAATTAATAAATACATACAGTATATAGTTTATACAGTACGGTACTGTAAATTGCTCTGTTTTTGCTAAATTATCACCATTCTTTAAGACTCCCGGGTAGGCTAAGGCCATCTTCGACTTACGATATTGTGGACTTACGATGGGGTCGTCGTAACGCATCTACATCGTAAGTAGAGGACTACCCTGTATAACTCCTTGAACCCGAGCTGTAAGTTCTCTGACACTTGGCTTGTCTCTGGTCTACTTACACCGGTAGCACAGAGACTAGGAATTCAGTTTAAGTAATATTTAAAAATACTTTTTTTAAAACACGCTTTAATAAAATGTACCGTACTAGTAATGGCAGAACTCCACGACTCCAGGAAGTTTCCCCGAAGCTTTGCCACAACGTAAGGGACCGTGTGGTGATTTACAGCCAACTTCAGTTGAGCGTGGACAATTAGACCCAAGCCGAAACATAACATGTAGAAAATCTTGTTTAAAAATATATATTTTTTTATTTTTTAATGATAGAATATAGTATTGTCATCGGTATGACATAAGCATACCAAGTGTGCAGTCGATACCACATTGAGAAGTGGGTTAAAATTGAGTCACAAGATTTGAGGATACGACATCAACAACAGACACAGTGAGTTAAATAAAAGCGTGTAACAAAAAGACAATGCTATATACGTTATCATTATCAGAGCATTGTGTGTTTGCACGTTTGGGTTAATGCAGTACTTGATGATGCCTCGCAATAGCTGTTTCTATTTGGTGTTTGAACATCCTAACTCCTATTTTATTGCCAGATGCCCATTATTATTTTTCATCAGCACCATCAGCAGCATCACGTAACGTAACTTTATCTATGGGACCTTTTCGCCAGTACAGTAGAGTAAAACCTTGGGATTGCGAGCATAATTCGCTCCGGAAACGTGTTTGTAATCCGAAGCACTCGTATATCAAAGCACTCGTGTATCATACTCTTTAGTTTTTTTCGGTGAAGTCACGTAGCCTCTCCACTGCTAGCCTGTTCTCTCACTCTCCTAGCCTCTCCACTGCTAGCCTGTTCTCTCTCACTCTCCTAGTCTCTCCACTGCTAGCCTGTTCTCTCACTCTCCTAAATTTAGTTGTTTTCATTTATTTTATTGAATTAAAACTAAATTGAGTTGTTTTCATTTATTTTATTGAATTCTACGTGACTTTACCGAAAGAACCAAAGAAGATGAATCATTGCAGTCACGAAAGCTTTAAATCGAAATAAAACAACTAAATTTAGTTGTTTTCAATTATTTTATTTAATAAAAACAACTAAATTTAGTTTTCATTTATTTTATTGAATGAAAACAATAAAATAAATGAAAACAACTACATTTATTTGTTTTCATTCATTTTATTGAATGAAAAAACTAAATTTAATTCTAGATTTAAAGCTTTCGTGACTGCAAGGATCCATACTCTTTGGTTCTATTTGGTAAAGTCACGTAGGTAAAAAATAAAACAACAAAAATCACGACGTTTCGGCCACAACACAAGCGCCCTTCATCAGGTGAAGGGACCAGACTGTCTCGAGGACAGCACTGGAGTGAACACAGCCAAGCTCAGACCGCGACCTTCGAGCTGTGTGAGAGGAAACAGAGCGCCTTGACAAAGGAATTAGCATAAAAATGAGCATTTAATTGGCGGACTTAGCATGATGAACGGTGTAGAGGGGGTGAACATGTACAGGTCGGGGAGGGGGAGTTTACTTTTGTCAATTTGGCCACATGGCCTCCCGGCTCTGAACCTTTTCCTAGACCACATTAATTCCAGACACCCCGCCATCAAATTCACCATGGAAGTGGAGAAAAATGGCAAGCTGCCATTCTTGGATGTTCTGTTTGAGAGAAGACCTGATGGCTCATTGGGACATTCTGTCTACAGGAAACCCACCCACACAGATTCCTACTTGGAACCTGATTCCCACCACCACCCGATGAAAAATAATTATCTCACCAAAACGTTATACCACAGGGCTCATTGCATTTCGGACCAACACCACCTGACCAGTGAATTAAAACATGTACATCTGGCCCTCAAAAGGAATGGATACTCTGACCGTACCATCCGCCAAGCTGTTTCTCCCTCCATACAGAAACAACCACTTGATACTCCGATCAAAACCATCACACTACCATATATAGCAGGCGTTACTAAAAATATCTCCAAAATTATAAACAAACACAAGATCCAGGTCCGGTTCAATACAGTACACAAAATCCGTGACCTGATTCCTTCCGTGAAGGATGTCATTCCTGACTTACAATACCCCTGAGTTTACAAATTGATCTGGACGTGTGGTGACTGCTATATCGGGGAGACAAAGCGACATGTCTCTGACCGAATTCGCGAGCACAAATCAGATTTGTAACACGGCAGAACGAATTCTTCTGCCGTAGCTGATCACTGTTACAACACTGTGGGTGATCACGATATAATTTTCTCCGATACCAAGGTTCTTTGCAAACCCACGGGTTTTTATCAGAGATTTGTTCACGAGGCAATTCAGATTTACAAACACAGACACAATTTCAACCGAGAGGATGGTTTCAAATTAAGCAACCATTGGAAAGATGTTCTGAATCAAACCAAACATTAAACTAATTTTCAATGGTACAGTATATTTTTTCAAGTAGTGGTATCCCAAACTTTCGCAGCTGCTTAAATTCCCTTTTCACACCATCAATATGTAAACTCTCCCCTTCCCTCCCCCCCTCGCCGACCTGCACATGTTCACCCCTCTACACCGTTCATCATGCTAAGTCCGCCAATGAAATGCTAATTTGTATGCTAATTCCTTTGTCAAGGCGCTCTGTTTCCTCTCACACAGCTTAAAGGTCGCAGTCTGAGCTTGGCTGTGTTCACTCCAGCGCTGTCCTCTAGACAGTCTGGTCCCTTCACCTGATGAAGGCCACTTGTGTTGTGGCTGAAACGTCGTGATTTTTGTTGTTTTATTTTTTACCTACGTGACTTTAGTGAATAGAACCAAAAACTACATTTAGCTGTTTTCATTTATTTTATTGAATTAAAACAACTCAATTTAGTTGTTTTCATTTATTTTATTGAATTAAAACAACTAAATGTAGTTGTTTTCATTTATTTCATTAATTGAATAAAAACAACTAAATTTAGTTGTTTTCATTCATTTAATTGAATTAAAACAACTAAATTTAGTTGTTTTCATTCATTTTATTGAATTAAAACAACTAAATGTACTTGTTTTCATTCAATAAAACATTTATTTTATTTTACCTACGTGACTTTACCAAAAAAAAAACAAAGAAGATGAATCCTTGCAGTCACGAAAGCTTCAAATCTACGCTCGTATATCGGTTGTGATCACGTGACGCTCGGCAGTACAAAGCGTGTCTACACGTGCACTACTGCTCGTATTGCAAGACCCTCGCTCGTTTATCAAATTAATATTTATTTAAAAATATTGCTCGTCTTGCAAAACACTCGCAGACCAGGTTACTCGCAATCCAGGGTTTTACTGTACTATCAAAATGATGATGGCACTAACACAGGCATTGGTGGTAAGGAATGTTCAAACACCAAATGGATACATTTGGCAGGGCTTAAAGTCTGCATTAACCAGACTAAATTAAAAGCATGTTTTATTTTACCAGGTTTGGCCCCAATGAGCTGTTGTGTAGCTATTCTGTCAGAAGCGACCAGGCCATCACGAATGATAGCAGCTCAACCGAGTGGCTCGCTTTTCATCATCACGTGGAAATTTACGTCAGCTGCCAAACACTTTAAATGCATAGAGACACACGGAGATACACAGAGACCCATACTCATGGAAACCCACAGAGATCCAGACTCATAGAGAACCAATACTCACAGAGACCCACACTTAGTACTCTAAATACATGCTGTTGCTTCTAAATGTGGAGGGAAAAACCAGAGGATCCAGAGAAAAATCCACGCGGCCACCACGGGGAGAGAAACACAAACTCCAAATGTACAGCAGCAGGCATCGTCAGGGTTGGTTGGGATCGAGCCCACGACCTCCTGCGTACCAGGCGAGGTAGTTAACGTCTCCTAGCCACCGAGACGCACACACATACGCATGTTGAACTTCTTTCGCACCGTACGTAACGTACCGTGCTTAATCACGCTCTGATAATAATAGTAGTAGCCGTTGCACAGCATGCTAACTAATCATGCTATAATAGTAGTAGTAGTACACAACATGCTCACTAATCATGCTATAATAGTAGTAGTAGTGTACACAACATGCTCACTAATAATGTTATAATAACGATGATGTTGTTACGCACTGTCTATGAAACGGATTGACCTTACAACAGGGGGGAGTGGGGGGTTAAGGGGGTACAGGGTCAGAGAGTGGGGGGTTAGGGGTAAGGGAGTGGGGGGTTAAGGGTAAGGGAGTGAGGGTCAAGGGGGTACGGGGTAAGGGAGTGGGGGGTTAAGGGTAAGGGAGTGGGGGGTTAAGGGGGTACAGGGTAAGGGAGTGGGGGGTCAAGGGGATAAAGGGGTAAGGGAGTAGGGGGGTTAAGGGGGTACAGGGTAAGGGAGTGGGGGGTCAAGGGGGTAAAGGGGTAAGGGAGTAGGGGGGTTAAGGGGGTACAGGGTAAGGGAGTGGGGGTTTAAGGTAGGGAATAAGCTGGGGGGGTCAAGGAGGGGGTGGGAGGTAAGGGGGTTAAGAAGGGGGGGTTAAGGAGGGTGGTGAGTTAACAGGGGGGTTATGTGGGGGGGAGGGGGTTAGGGGGGGGCGAGGGGGTTGGGGGGGCGAGGGGGGGAGGGGCGAGGGAGTGTAAAGGGGGGGCGAGGGGGTTAGGGGGGGGGGTGTTGTTAAGGGGGCCTCGTGGTGTCTGCGGGGGTGCCGCTGTGGTGGTTACCGGAGCGCGCGCCGAGCCTCAGCCGTAGACGGCGCCGATGCCGCGCGTGGACGCCGCCGCCGTGGGGAGGGGGCTGTAGTGGGGGGCTGTCTAGTAATGGGGGGCTGTAGTGAGGGGCTGTGTCTAGCAGTGGGGGGCTGTAGTGGGGGGGGCTGTGTGCTGTAGTGGGTGGCTGTAGTGGGGGGGCCGTAGTGGGGTGGCTGCAGTAGGGGGCTGTAGTGGGGTGGCTGTAGTGGGGGGCTGTAGTGGGGGGCTGCGGTGGGGGGCTGTAGTGGGGGGCTGTAGTGGGGGGCTGTAGTGGGGGGCTGTAGTGGGGGGCTGTAGTGGGGGGCTGGGGTGGTTTTGAGGCTTCACGCGCGGCCTTTCGCGCGCGCCGCAGCCGCCGCCATCTTGGCGCCTCGCCCACAATGCACCGCGAGCCCGGCGTTCTATTTATTTATTTATTTCGTAGCTCCTTTATATCTGTGTGTGTAAGTGGATGTGTGTGTGTAAGTGGATGTGTGTGTGTAAGTGGATGTGTGTGTGTGTAAGTGGATGTGTGTGTGTAAGTGGATGTGTGTGTGTAAGTGGATGTGTGTGTGTAAGTGGATGTGTGTGTGTAAGTGGATGTGTGTGTGTAAGTGGATGTGTGTGTGTAAGTGGATGTGTGTGTGTAAGTGGATGTGTGTGTGTAAGTGGATGTGTGTGTGTAAGTGGATGTGTGTGTGTAAGTGGATGTGTGTGAGTGAGTCTCTGTGTGTGTGAGTCGCTGTGTGTGTAAGTGAATGTGTGTGTGTGGATGTGAGTCGCTGTGTGTGTGTAAGTGGATGTGTGTGTGTGTGTGGATGTGTGTGAGTGAGTCTCTGTGTGTGTGAGTCCCTGTGTGTGTGTAAGTGGATGTGTGTGTGTGTAAGTGGATGTGTGTGTGGAAGTGGATGTGTGTGTGTGTAAGTGGGTGTGTGTGTGTAAGTGGATGTGTGTATGTAAGTGGATGGGGAAAAAACGGTGATCCAATCTCCGACCCCCAGGAACAGGTTTGCAGATTTGCTGAGCATTTCTGTGAGGTCCTGGGGGATGGAAAATCCTTCAGCCAGGAAAACATCGTGGCACAAAGTGAGGATGACCCTGCTGAGGCTGCGGTGCCTCAAATATTGGAAGAAGTCACCCCCTGTGAGTGGCTGGCTGAGGTGCCATCTGTTGAGGAAGTACTGAAGGCAATCCGGAGTTTGAGACCAGGAAAGGCAGCGGGCAGAGATGATCTCCCAAGCGAAATGCTGAGGGAGGGTGGCGTTTGTGCACAGACTGCCCTATATGACATCATAACAACAGTCTGGACCACTGGACGGGTTCCGCAGGATTGGAAGGATGCCCTGGTGGGGCATCTCACTCCTCAGTGTACCGGGAAAGGGCCTGGCAATGATTATTCAACATCGCCTCGCCAGGCACGCTGAGGAGAGGCTTGCGGAGCCCCAATGCGATTTCAGGAAAGGGCGGTCCTGCACAGATGCCATATTTTCTGTCTGTCTGCTACAGCAGAGGTGTAGGGAATTCCAGCAATACCTACATCTCTGCTTTATTGACCTGGTCAAGGCCTATGATACCATCAGTAGGCCTCGGCTCTGGGTTGTTCTTCGTGCTTTTGGAGTACCTGACCCTCTGCTCACGATCATTAATGACCTTCATGATGGTGCTTTCCGCTAATATCTTGATGTAGTTTTACTTACGTCTCTATATTTTAACTTTATTTATATTTCTGTATTTACTTTATATATCAATACATATTGTTACTTTATCTTTTATCTGTCATTTTCTTACTTTGTCTCTCTACCTCTATATATGCTTTATTTCTCTAAATATAATTTATATATATCTTTAAAAACTTTATTCCTCTATATATAATTTATGTATCTCGTTATCTCGACATATACCTTATCTCTATATATACTTTATATATCTCTATTTATATACTTGCTCTATCTCTACAGTATATATACTTTATCTCTACCTATCATATACGTTATTTCACTATCTCTCTATAACTTTATCTCTATATATATACTTTATTTCTCTATCTATATATACTATATCTCTCTACATATACTTCTCGCTCTAAATATACTTTATCTATATATATGTAGGGGTGCTATGGGGAATAAACACATGACACGGGAAGGTGTGGGTCACCCACACCTTGGTGGCTACAACAACGTCCGCTAAGGCTCCAGTGGGTATAAAGTGCGGGGAGCCAGGGAGCTCGGGGCAGAGTGTGGGGCCCGAGGCTGAAGCAACCAGTGAAGAAAGAAGGCCAGCTAGGTGAGACCCTGGAACTCCTGTGACCGCTGCCCTTTTCAGGGCCGGCACAGCAAGCCAGTGGTGCGGCCCCAGAGCCCCAGAGTCAGAGTCCTTCTAAGGGCCGGTCTGGTCGGCAGGGTGCCGAGATCTGTGCCTAACCAGGGCCGGATCTGATAGCCTCCCTTAGAGCCCTACCAGGAGGAACTGGGAGCCTAGAGCTTAGGCTAGAGAGCCTGGGGTGTGTTCCTGAGTTTTACGGGTGGAGGGGCCCCTACCCCTTCTAGTGTAACCCTTGTTAAGGTTTAAATAAATAGTGCTGCTTCTATTCTGCCGTCTCCGTGTCCTGGAACCCACTACAACTGGTGTCAGAAGTGGTCTTAAAATGGACACAAGGAGTACAAACCGATGACAGGAACCCCAGGAGGAGGACGGCTCGCCTGGGATTGTGCCAGAGGCCGCGGCCGACGATCCTAGGATGCCCCAGACGCCCCAACAGCAGCCGCCGCTGGAGGAGTGGCCGCCGATGGAGGACGGGTTGCAGGCGGCTCACTCTCGACTGGCTGAGCTGCTGTATGCCGCGGCTTCCACGCTGGAGGAAATCAACCGCGCGGGGCTGCGGGCGCAAAGGCGGCAGAGAGACGAACGCCGTTCAATGGCCATTCCCGCCGAAACACAGCCACCAGATTTCGGATTTGCCGCCATGACAGTGTCCACCACGGCGATTGGAGGGTCGCAGCCCCACGTGGACGCTGTGGGCCAATCAGCGGTGGTGACGTCATCACCAACGGACGCCCGCTGTCAGGACCAATCGGCGGGCGCTTCGTCATCACCTGCGCGACCGCCGATGGGTGTCCCCAGCCCCTCTATCACCGGCGGAGAGGCCGGTGATGGCGCGCGGCACCTCTCAGAGACGAAGCCATCGTTTCAACAACGCCTGCCGGTGTTGAAGGAGTTCGTTTCAGATGGCGGCGACTGGGGGTCCTTTCAACGCCGCTTTCTCGCTCATCAAGAGATGGCCGGCTGGACGGACAACGAGGCGTTGAGTGCGCTACCGGCCATGCTGGACGATGACGCTCTTGCTACGCTCATCACAGCTCCCAGATCAACGCGATCTACGCTACAGTCGGCGCTCCAGGTCCTCACCATAGTCTATGGGCCATCGTCGGACTGCCGCAAACTCTTCCACGAGCGGTGCAGGGGCCAGAAGGAGCCACCGCTGGCGTATCGCACGGCTCTCCTGGCCCTCGCAAAAGCGGCTTTCCCGCGGATGGACGGCGAAGGGGTGGACGCGATGGTGACGGAGAAACTCCTGGCGTTGGCCCAGGAGCTACAGATCGCCATCGTCACAGCGGACGACGCGGACATGTGCTCCTTGCGGGCAGCAAGACACATCCATGCGCACCTGATAGCGCAGCGTCGATCACCTCTCGTTCCCAAGGGCGCAGCTGCGGTGTGCGCTGGGACGCCGACCATCCCCCACTAGGAGGAGGTCTTCGCGGCGGGTCGCCCGGTGGAGTGGAGATCCGGAGGGAGGCCGGCTCGGACAACACTGGATCGCCAGGAGCACCCCAAGGCGCTCATCACGTGCTACAACTGTGGCCGCAAGGGCCACGTGGCTGCGGAATGCCGGGCGCCTCGTCAACGACAGCCGGGACGGTCGGACGGCGCTCCAGCCTACAGGCCTCCGCATCGCAACCCGGCAAGTCGCGGCACCTCACATGCTCGGCCTGTGCACACACCTGTCCCCACCTCGCGCGTTTCGGTGTACGGGCCTCGGGGTACGCCCATTGGTTTGTTGGGTGGCGGCGGGGTCGAGAGGGTGCTCGGGCCGGGGCAGTGGACGGAATTGGCCCACCGCATTGTTGCTGCGTCGGCAGGCTCGTCCGTGGTCGCGGGTCGCATTGACGGGGTCGAGGTGCGTATCCTCGTCGATACGGGAGCTTCGGCGACCATTGTGTCAGACTTGATTTATAATATTCTTCCCGTTCAAAGCCGCCCCTTGCTCCCAGTCACCGTTCCGTGTTACGCAGCGAACGGGGGTTCGCTGGGTATCATAGGCCAAATTCGAGCACAAATTTGCATTGGCGATATCAACCTCTCCGGGCCGATATTACTCTCGTCCTCGCTGGCGGTTCCGTGCTTGTTGGGGACAGACTTTTTGGGCAAAATGCCGATTAAAATTCTAATTGATCAGGGTTGCATCGAGCTTCCCTCGGGCCGACGGGTAACATTCCTGCCTTCCCCTGTCACCTCAAGGGCAGCGTGCGCGTCGATACAAGCGTTCGTCACTCGGACGGTGCGTGTACCTCCCGGGGCGCAAATGCTCGTGCCCTTTCGCTTGCGTCGGCCTTTCGTGCCCGGTGTTCTGGACCAGGGAATTCTGTTAGGGCCCTCGAGGGCTGGGGAAAACGGGCTGGATCTGGTGGCCGCTCAAACGCTCATTAAGGGGAGCGATGACCCGTTTATCCTCGTCCTTAACGTTGGCGTACAGACGGCCGTCGTTCCTCAGGGAACTGTGCTCGCGCACGCGACGCCGGTCCCCGTGGTAGACACGGTTATGGGTAATGTGGGGACCGATCCTCTGGCTCAACCGCATTCTGAGGGGGACGATAGTTGGATGGACGCACTATGTTCGGGCACGAGTGATCTGTCCGACTCCCAGCGTGCCGGCCTACGCACCCTTCTGACGGAATTTTCCGATGTCTTTAGTAAACACAAATATGACATTGGGTGCACGAAATTGTTGCATCACCACATTGACACGGGTGACAATGCCCCGGTACGCCAGAATCCTTTTCGGTTAAGTCCGGCCGAAAAAGATCATGTCAAATCGGCAGTGGATGACATGCTGGCTGCAGACA